GCCATAAAGGACCACAATGAGATTTCAATCAGGTAAATCAAAGGAACATGGAGGATGCATGACTTGAAAGGAGCAGAAAAGACAAAACTTTACAAAACTAGAAAAAACGGTAAGTGTTTGACAGGCTGCCCGATAGCAAGACACAGTTGAAGTGTCCAAGCCTTTGTCAAACAACCAGTCGAAGAGTTGGTAAAGATGAGGAAGGGAAGAGTGGGAAGGTCAGAAACCACAAAGAGACCAAAGGCTGAAAGTAGACCACTGTCTTTGGTAAATGGACATGGACAAACGTATGATGGAATGGGAAAGGAAATATGTAACATGTGGAGTCAGTCCCTGGGCTGAAGCAATGGACCTGATAAAAGCCATGCATGAAGACAGAGTGTGGTGATGTCTGGATGAACAATGTCTGATTGAGGTTGATGGAGTAGAGATCAAGACAGAGGTAAGGGTAGAGGAAGTTGCACAAGTTAAGGTCAGAGCACTGGGAATCATGGTTGTGCCTGCCAATATGGAGCCATCAGAAGGACTAGACACAGAGTGGTTTGGATTAGGGATAGAACTTTGGAGAGGAGTCGAATAGGAAGGTAAGCATAGATGTGAAGACCCCTTTAATCTTGATTGAACATGTCCACCCCCTGAGTTAGCAGGTGTGGAACAGGAGAACAAAAGGAAGGAAGTTTGGTGTACCATTGGATGACAACGGCATATATGAGGTATCCCCAGTTGGGAACACACCCACCATAAGACATGTGGATTAAGGGACCAATCCAAGGGGAGAATCGTATTGGGATGAGATAATCAATCCACAACCAGATTCATGGTGCCAGGAACATGACAAGCTAAGACCACAATGTGGTGACTGTGGGCCCAGAAAAGGAGATCCAGGATCTGAAAGCACAGAGACCTGGAATTGGTACACCCTTGCTTGGTGATATAAGTGAACACTGTGGAGCTGTCAGAGTGTATCATAACCACCCTCCCTGCAGGAGAGAAAGGAAGTAAAACAAATCTTGGTGAACCTCCATGAGCTCGAGAATGGTGATATAAAGAGAAGACTTATTGATGTCCAGAGACTAAAAATCTCCTGGGAGCCGAGGTAAGCACCCCAACCCTCTAAAGATGAGTCTGTGAACAGACGTACGTTTGGATGAGGCAGAGGAAGCAGCACCCCTACCTTGGTCTGATCTCTGTCTAACCACCATGCCAGGTCGGCTCTGACGTGTGAATTAAGGGTAAAAGTGTGGTCCAATTGATCCAAGTATAATTACTACTGATCTAGGAGACTCCACTGATGGGAACATATAAGAACCCAACCCATGGGAATGAAAGCTTCTAAGGAAGCCCACAACCCCAAAAGAGATAGAACCTCTAAAGCTTTGAGAGCATGCGAGGTGAGGGCTTTGTGGTCTACTTGCACCATATCCCAAAGATTAAGAGGTAGGAATGAAAAAAACCCCCAAATGAATGGGGAATTGAATGGGGGTAAGAATAGACTTTCCTCTTTCATCAGTAATCCCACCTGTGCTGTTTCTTGTAGGAACAGAAGAGTATGGTTACTGGACTGTGAATGGGAAGAGGTAAGCAGTACCCAGTCATCCACGTAATAATGAGTGCAAAGACCCATCGAGTGAAGATGTTGGGCATGAGTTTGTATCACCTGAAGAAACACTCAAAGAGCCAAGGTTAGTCCAAACAGTAGGGCCCTGAACTGGAATACTTAACTTTGAACAATAAATAACTATCGACGATGTGGGTACTGTGGGGGTGAATGCTGAATTGTAGATTACAAGGAGAAAAATTTATTTCTAGTATTAAGAACATAGGAAAAGGAGCCAAAGGAAAGCTTAGCTTTATGAAAGGGAATAAAATGAAAATGTTAGTGATGTAGCAGAAAAAAAAAATTAAGTTCTACATTGACGAAAAGTAGGATTAGAAGGCACATGGTTAACAAAGATGAAAAAAAAAATATCTAGATATAACAATGAATTAGATGTTACTAGTAGTAATGATATGTTAACGTACAAAATATCTAAACATACCTAGTTAACAAAGTACTTATGAATATCGAACTGGCAAACCATCTAAATTTACCTAGTCCACAAAGTATGTAATAATAATAACTATGTAAACCGACAAAAATTACCAAAAAACAAAGTAATAATCAATATCTAACTTACATTTCATCTAAATTAACTTAGACAACAAAAGGACACATAAGTATGGTCAACACAGACAATAATTAGGATTATAAGGGACATATTTACAATGGCAAGAAAAAAAAATTAGGCAGATATAACAGTGAATTAGATGTGACTATTAGTATAATATGTAACTTAGAAATTATCTAAACATACCTAGTTAAAGTAGTTATTAATATCAAACTGACAAACCCTTGAAATTTACCAAATCTACAAAGTACATAATATTAACAAATGTGCAAAATGACTAAAATTACCTAGAAAAACAAATTGATAAATAATATTTAACATACAATTCATCTAAATTAACTAAGACGATAAAGGACACATAAATAGCTTTCCAAAGTTTGAGCACTGATGAGGTGAAATACTTAAATCTCCCACGTGTAAAGAAGGACAAAGTCATACAAAGGGCATCTCAGCTGCACCTACTATGGGTATATCCACTATGTGTGAAGTGTACAAGTAAAAAACTTACCACAGAACCACTGGGAGAACGGAAGCAATATGAAGCTTTGTTCTTCTACTTGACCAAAGTGAATGACATGGTGGCAAAGTAAACTATCAAAATCACCCATGTTTCCTCAAACATACAGCAAAACCAGAATATGTGCCAACCAACGACCTGAATAACTAGTTGTAAAAAATAAAAAATGGAAGGGAAAAACTCCTCAAGATTTGTAGAGTGTGACAGACCAAAATAGGAAGATGTTGGGAAAAGAGAGTCCAAATAGTCTTCTTCTTCATTGTATTCTTCCTCAGAAACATTGTCAAGTTGAAAAGAAGAAATATTCAACCAAACATATGAATCTAGCTCTCTATGAATTAAGGCCTGTATCTCCTTTGCAGTTAAAGTCAAATCTGATTCCTGGGAAATCATACCTGTAGCATTTTCGACTGTAACAGGAATTTCCATGGTCGATACAATGAATCAAAAATTCATACTAAGATCTCTTATAATTCAGTAACAAGAAACAAAAGCAAAACCAAAATTATTGACATAATTGAATTCAAACACAATAAAATATAACTGTCAAAAAAAGTAAAAATCTGAAATGGGAAAGAAGCACAATAATAAACAGGACTCACATGTGAAAAAACACACATTCAAACAAAGCTGTGCCAATTAAGAAAGTGAGGATTGAGTGGGAATAGCAGAGGGAGCTAGATGCGCCAACATAGGTGATGTAATACTATTGGTGGAGAGTAGTCACATGCTATGTACATGTTCAATAGTAGCACGAAATTGGTGGGGTCTATAGACTGGTGCACTGAGTTTGAAAATTTAACACCAATGCTTAGACGATAGAAAGAAGATTGAGATAGCTTTGAGTAAGCAGGGGTAAGACTGTATTGGAAGCAAAAAACAAACCTGAGAAATCAAATCCACAAATAGATATGGAGAAGCAACATTGCCCTCAACAAATAAAGAGGAGCTAAGTGCAATCCCAGGAGGTGAAAAAGAGACAATCAAAATCATCATCCTCAAGGTCAGGTGCAGAAAGAGGAGAATTCATTTCAAACACATGAAAATACAAGAAGGAAGGCATCAAAGAACACCTCACACAATTAACTACAATAGTAATGTCTTCAACAGAAAACAAGCTTCCAGTGGCCACAGACAAAGAAGGAGGCAATAGTCATTGTACTTGGGAATTCATGGTCATTGTAGCAGGTCTCCAAATAAAAAAAAAAAGTTCTAAGTTATTCAGTAGCAATACACCTTTAAAATGAAGTTGAAACAAACTAAAAGTAAAACAAAGAAACTTAACACTGTGAAAATGCAGTGCAAATCTCACAAAACTGAAGTTTAAACTTAAGGAAATCCATCCATTAAACACACTGTCAAGAATAAGAATGAAGTTTATTTCAAGTGCAAGTACTTATGGGGATCTACTGCACATGGAGGATGTGTTGCCCTCCTATTGGTGGAGGACTATCGTAGCATGATAATTATATCACACACTAGCACAGTTCACATTATAACACATATCATAAGTGGGAGATAGCTTAAGAATAGTAGCATGCGCAAAATCTCAAAAGCATACATGTGAGAAATAGCTACTGTGGGCATAAAGATAAGTCTATCATTTCAGAATTCACAAGTAGGTTGATAAACTAGATTAAATTAGTTCAGATTTGTTTTTGTGTGGAATCAAGAAAATCTAGGGATGCTTCAGAAGCTGAGAAGTGGCCACAACTTTACTGTAGTACAATATACATGTAAATTTTTTGATCAGTTACAAAAGTATAATTAGCAAAACACCAACTGAAGAAAGGGTAGCATAGTGGATAGTGTTTTAACTGGATTCATAGTTGAAAGGTTGTAGGTTCAAGACTTGCTTGCAAAATATTTTTGTGTTCTTGAGAAAGACATTTTACTCCAATTGCTTCAGTCTACCCATGTATTTAACGAGTACCAGTGAGTAGCTGGGAGTTAATATGCAATGAACTGGCATTTAATCTAGGAGGAATGTACCATAATTTTCATCCAGTTATGCTACAGGAAACAGGAGATAAGCATTGGCCTTACGTGTTTTTAGGCTCATAAAAGATTTAACTTACTTTTAACAGAAGAAGAATGACTAGAATTTTTTGTACTGCCATGTTAACGCAGGATAAATGTATATAAATATTAATATAAGCAAACTCAATTCTTTAAATTACTTAATCCTTATAAAAACATTTGATACAATTTGGGTCTTCGAACTAATGAAAATTAAGAAACAGATCAAACAATAAAAAACAAAACAAAAAATGTATTTAAGAATATATAGGCACCAAATAAATAGAGGAACTTACCCGCTTTCACTTCTCTACCTATGTGTGGATCATATACTTTGGCCTTTTCTTGAAATTCTTTTACTGCTATATAATATATACAGTTGGAAGTTACATAAACACTAAAACAGTGTGTAAAATAAGATAAGAAAGGAACAAATAGTAGGCAAATACTATATTTGTACTGGACTGGCATACACTTTGTATACGATATATATATATATATAGTGTCATACAACCAAAGAACAGGCTCCAGCAATCAAGAAAATTAGCATATACTTGAACCATTCTCTTACAGCAGTTTCTACAGATACAGTGATTATATAGATTATGTACAGTTTCTTACTAAGTTATGAACTTTTAAAAGATAAACAAAAAAAGATACAAAACCTTTTCTGTTTTTGGGATGAACAAAAATGGTGTCCTCTTTGAATCCTGGCACAATACCAGCTATCTCATAAGTTCCTGAATAAAGAAAGAAGTCTCCATGACAAATTTACACATAATTATACATGCAATTAACTTTACAGTAAGTAACTTTCTGATCAGTAAATGTTGGAGTATTAAATCTACTATTCTTATAAATGCTCTTGGATTTTAGGTAACTATGAAAATATTATTAAATCTAATTTAATGTCTGTACATCATATCTAAAGTTTTAGTAGTGAAACTGAAGTCATTTTTATACAGAAAAAACTGCTTATGTGCATTTGGTCACCTGATCTACAATTGCTCTTTGGTACAGTAAAATGATAAGTACTTTAGGTATTAGTGTACTTTTAAGAAACATAGCCTTTCAAAGATTAATGTGCTAATATGTTATACACACACATTTTTTACATGGAAGGGAAACAAAACAAGAGTAATTGTAACATATAGTTTTAATGATGTTTGAAAATTACTGATTTATGTACCATTTTTTTAAAGTGCTAGCTTAAACCAAACTTCTTCATTTAATACTGCTCAGTAATCCTCGTGAAACATCATGTGATGGAGCAATTAAAAAGCATTTATTCATGATGTTAGAAAAACACGTAGGTTCAAGAAGTCTTGACAGAAATGAATAAAAATCCTATAATCTGAGTGCTTTCGAAACTGTTTGCCCCTGAAGAAGAAAGGTCCACCTTTCAAAAGTGCTTGGGTTATAGGATTTTTTATTCATTTCTGTCAAAAAGCATTTATTATTATCCATGATAAATAAGTAAAACCTACATTTATTAGTAAACCATCTAATTTTTCTTCAATAGACTCCATAAAAATATCACATTTATTTTCTGCACATTATGTACTCTTAAGTATAAAAATAAATAAAAATTATTTTACAATAATTACTCAGCTGATTTTAATATTCAAACCTCAATCTCTCTGGCCATTGACAGTTACATCTGTTCATTTTGATGTCATCTCCATTTTTCATTATGATTTAAGCAGTATTACTTCACTTCTAGATATATTCTAAATTTCTAATACACCTACAAATTTAGTGCCAGTATTAAAAACTCAGGTCCTTTTACTTTTCATCACTGTTATAAAATAATTTTGCTATATCATTATTTAGAATATCATGCTGCAACATTTAAACACCATGTATATAATGTCTGGTTGGTAATGTAAAACAACTCAATTATAACAAACATACGTCCAAAGAAGAAACTTCTCAACAAAGAACTATCTCTAACTTGGTCCATATTAGCTGTTCAAGAAGTCTTTTTTTCTTTCTTTGGTGTAAAATACAAATGATCCTACCACAGCACAAAATCCACTTTTTCTGTAATTATATATATCTGGAAACAATTATGGAAATGGTTAGGAAAAAGGACTTAAAGGCAAATACTACAGACATAACACCCCTTTATCCTGTGAAAATGAATTGCACTAGAGTAAAGTCAAATTTTGATAGCTTTACACCATGACTAATTGTCATCCAACCAACTGGAAAACACCACACCAGTATAAAGCCTATAAAAGTAAAGGCAGCCATACTATGCCTAATAACAGTAACAGCAGTACTGTGTTTGCAATCATGACTCCCAAGACTGAAATAACACTTGCCAAGTGTGTAGAAACCAAAGATTTGGCTAGTCAAGGTTAATTCATGAAAAAATTAGTGCAAAACTCCATGTTTCAGTAGAATCTGAATAGTGTACAGGAAAAACTATACACTACTGTAAATAGAAGTAGTCAAGATAGAAAACCAGAGCTCTTCAAAAGTGATGTTAAGAATCTCAAGGTATGGTTTTAATGAGATATACATAACAGTTGATTAGATACCTTGCCATTAACCTTGCTGTAAATTCAGACATTAATGCTACCTCAAGAACAATAAAATACACATTAGCACAACTGGGTTGTCTCGGTGGATATGCAGCTGCTCAAAAACTGCTGCTGAGAAGAAGTAATCAAAACAAAAAGTTGAAATAGACAATCGACCATAAACAGTGGAATAAGCAAAGCTAGAGAAGGATGCTTCTAACAGATAGATTTGAGTTGAAATTTTTAACAGCAATCAATGACACAGGAGAATGGTATTATTGTTAATGTCTAACATTGACGTGATGCATGAAAGGGATCAGTTCATGCTGCATATCAACCAACTGTACCAGTTATCTACACAAATCTGATGCCATCCCCATTGCTGACAAGTACAAGCTAATTCTAATCTATCACACCATTCTCTTAGGAATATGATTCACTGGGCAGGGACTCATCTTATAGGAACATAATGAACCCAAAGAGACCAGTCAAACACTCATAACCATGACTTGGCCCACACAGTGTTCCAGTACACACATTCTTGAGGATGTAAAATATGATCTAAAAAATAAGGACAAAAGATGACCAAAAAACTTGGATGAAATGTGGGCAAGAACTTGGAACAATATTTGACAACTGTATGTTGATAAACTGTACAACAGCAAGAAAACAAAGTGTACTGCTCTGTCAAAATCAAAGGTGTCACATACAAAATATTATTATATTGACAACTTAATTGCTTTCTTTTGTATATGTATTGTATATATCTTGAGTGATAATATGTTGCAGCATTGATAAATTCCCTATCTAGTTGCCATTACTCGTTGTTTGTAATGCTGTAAGTGTGCTTTCCTTTATTAGAGCCGTGTGTAAAATGTTACAGAATCTCACTTTTACACACTTGTTGAGATTTACAATAAGTTAAAACACTTGTTTTGTATCTGTACAAATTTCATCACCCAGTAGTTAAAAAAGTGTAAATGTAACTGCTTCTTACCATTTGATGTGCATCTATAATTAATGTGTTCATTTCTCCAAAATGCTACTGGTTTTACAATCGTACGTTTTGACCCTCGTCTGATGATTTTAGAAGATCCTTCTGGGTTGCTATCCAGTCCTAGCGGATATGGTCTTTTTAAAGATAGAACTGCATGTAACAAAACAGAAACCAAAAATTTTTCTTTTTTCAATCCAACATGAAATATACTTTATATTTAGTTTCCATAAGATAAAGTCTCACAAACCAATGTGTTTGGTAAGTGTACACTAATAATTATCAACACTGTTTGAATTTCCTACAGAGTATTTTATCTATTACTGTAAAGTTGTAAGTTCAATAGAATTATTTATTACACATGGGATGATTTAAATACAAATCTATGTCAGGTACTTACATTAGTATGTTTTAAGAATTTTCATACCACTGTTGTTAAAATTTAGGCAGTTTTATAAAATTAATATTGAATCAAATGTTATATGTAACTATGAAATAAAAATTATACAGGAAAATCAATAAACTATCAACTTGATAAAACATGAGGTCAAAATAACTTAAATTTTCAACAATAAATTTAAAGTTCCATAAGTAATTACATGCAGAAATATCAGCACTAATCATCTTTAAACCCATGAAAACCATTTTCTCCCATTTGTATCTGTAATACCAGATGTAACACTTCCAAAATAAAACTTCAATGAACTTATATAAAATAAAAAAATTCTAAGAAGTAAAAATAAGGACTACACTTTTAGCTTAATTAACATATAAGATATATTATGTTATTATATTGTAGGTATTCAGAAGGTTCATTTGGGATGACAGGTGATTCTCGATATCTATTCTGTTTGGACTTTTCTCCTTAATAAATTATCAAGTTTTAATTCTCAGGAAGTTTGTGTACGTAAGTTCCATTTCTTCCTGGGAGCAATCAGATTTCATGATATGCATTTCAAAACAAACATGAATTCAAGTACATGTTAATTTAAGTCTACTATCACCAGCTTTACTTTATAGCTTAGACACAACAAGCTAAGTACATTCTGTAACTCAAAACACTACACCAAAACAATGAATAGACCTAAACAGTACATGCACATAAACAATATAATTCACTCATGACATTTAGAAAGTTTGGAACTGCTAGAAAATCAAGGTCTGACAAAACAGAATTGTCACATGTAAAGCTTCATCTACTGTGTCTCTCACACTTGGTAAATGTAGTTATTATTACTTAAGAAACTTAACATTATACATTAATCTAGCTAATAATATAAATAAATAAAAATTGAATTTGATACTGTAAGTTACTATAAACAAACTTTGGTGTTACTTAGTATGAAACAAGTTTCAGCTACATGACAATTAAGGATGACTTTGCTAAAGAAAGTCTGCCCAATAGCTAGAGTTCATAATTGGGGCAAATAAAGGGAACAAAGTTGGACTATATTACAGACCACCAAATGTAAGTGATGAAATTAATGAAAAACTCTACAGTGAGATAAACAATTCAGCTATTATTGAAGCCACAGTTGTGGGGGGATTTCAATTTTAGGGAAATGTTAGTCAAACCATGAGAAAACACTTTTATAAACTGTACAAGATGGCTTTCTTCAAAAATTGGTCATGGAAACTACTAGGAATAATACTATTTTAAATCCAATTTTAACTCATAATCGAGAAACGAATGATAGGGTGAAGATTAAGGAATATCATTATTGCTTTAGGTTTGATGTTTTACTAGATATGGGGATTAGGAATAATGAGATTTTGTTTACAAATTAGAAATAAAAACAAGTTGTGAAGGAATGCAAAAATAATTATCTGTTGTGAATTGGGCAGCTGAATTAATTGAAGACACTGGACATATGTGGAAAATTTTTGAATTAAATAAATATTCAAGATAGACATCTTCATGTAAAGAAAAAAGGATGGCTGCAAGTAAAAAATCCAGATTGACTCATAAATGCTATAAGGGATAAAAGTAAAGAGAAACATCATATATTTTAATGAGCTTAAATTCATTGCTATGACAGAAACTTAAGAGGATCATAGGAGAACACGACTGTTGGTCAAACAAGAAATTATGGAATTGAAAAGGGTATATGAGAAAAGGTTGGCCAAAAATGTAAAAACTAACAGTAAGGATTTCTTTACATGTCTTGAGGGTAAACAAAAATGTTAGAACTGGAGTACAGCCTTTGAGAGATGATACAGGAAGGCTTATATGACAGTGCTGGGCTATTAAATACTACTTTGTCTTCAATTTTTACTCATGAAGAATTCAGCAATATTCCTCATCCTGAAAAATTATAAGACTGAAACAAAATAAAATAATCATATTAATTCTTGTTAGGAAAATATTAGGAAGTTTAGAAAATGATAAGGCTCCTGGGCCAGATAATATTTCCCCAAGGGTTTTGAAGGAGGTAAGGAATTTGATATGTAAGCCACCTGCTACTGTTTTTTGTAAGTCCTTGAACAGTGGGCAAGTGAAAAAATATTGGAAGTTGGCTAATGTTATTCCTCTATTTTTGGGAGGTTTATTGAAATTATTCTGGTAATTAAAGACCTGATAGTCTTTCATCAGTGGTAGGAAAAGTTTTGAAAGCCTAATTAAAGATGCCTTGCAAAGTCACTTAAAGTACAAAATTTTGTTCATTAGTCAACATGGTTTCACTACGAAAAATCTAATCTTGCTAACCTTCTGACATTATTTGAAGAGGTTACTGCTTATGTAGATGAGGGTATAGGTGTGGCTTTTGATTTTCAGAAAGCATCTGACAAGGTGCCACATAAAAGGCTGGTTAAAGAATATCTATGCAGGTGTGGGGGATAAGTTGGCTCAATGGATAGAAAAGTAGCTAAAATGGAAGAAATCAAACGGTTGTTATGAATGGAGTTTAGTAAAACTGGATTAACGTTACAAGTGGTGTACCTCAGGGTTTAGTTTTAGGACCTTTGCTCTTTTTGATCTACACTAATGACATAATGAAGGAATGGTCAATAAATTTCTTGAATTTGCTGGAGATATTAAGATTTTTGGTGTTGTTGACTGTAAGGAGGATGCTGCTGCTTTACAAAAGCAGAAAGATTTAATTCTCTTTGGTGTGATAAATGCTTATACTTGTGCTGGGATATGTAAGGTCTGGATAAAGAAAGTTAGCTATATCCTACAGCAACTGTGTTATTCATCCAATATATACAGATTCAATGACCAAACTGTGATAAATGATTAACCCAGCCTACCTTTTGATGGAATTGAATAAAATGATAAATATGAAAGATGAAATGCTTAGGTTTGTGTTGAAGTGTACATGTCTAGGAAAAAAGCACTATTTATATTGTCAATTGACAATGCTGACAATGTGATTTATAATGAGTCAATAACTACACTGTGTATAACAGCCGACTCAGCACAACTTACATTAGAGTTGGATAAAATGATAACTTTGATAGGTGGAATTTACTTTGCATATCTTATGTAAGGCAAGGATAAAGATAATTATGTATGATCTGTAGTTGTTAAGTTAATTTAGAAAATCAATTTTCATAATATTTTTATTGAAGATTTTATGAAAAGTAGTAAAAATTGTCAATTTTATACATTTCAGTTATAACATACAGTACTTAACACAAAAATGTCTTGTGCAACTAGTTTCATTATAATGTAGTTTATGTTGGTGAACTTGCTAAAAAAGTTTGCCCAATGGCTCGCCTTGCAAGGGAGAGGAATGGGGAACTTCTGAAGAAAACACAATAAAGGTGATCATTTCTTAAAATTGGAAAGATAATTTGAGAGATTTTAACATAGAATTTGAGGAGAGTCAGACAGTTTTTAAAGGTTTGATAAATGTTTAGACTTATGTTGTAGCATTTAACAAAGTTTAGAATATTATTGGGTAGTCAACATGGTTTCACTAAGGGAAAAATCTTGCCTTGTGAATCTTTTTACAGTGCAGCACTGTTGTCAGACTACTTTACAGGCCTTTTGACATTTTGCTGCATACTAATTATAAAAAAAGACAAAAAAGAGTAACTTGAAACAAGCTAAAAACCCTTGAAAATGGGCCGGTGGGCATAGTCTAGCCCGAAACACTCTGTTTCGCTATGGTCCTGGGTGAAATTAAATCGAAACATTATAAAGAAATAATCACTTAAGAATACAGTTTTACAATAACACAAATAATACTACGAGTAACGCTAATGAATGTCCGACCTAAACTTTTTCAACATCACAGGTCAATACATTTTTTAATTAACAACTATAGCAACACGTATCACAAAACCTACCTTTGGTTTTCACCTGTTGTTCTGTTGATTTCATTTGAATAAATTGTTTCTTCCTCCTTTTTGTTATCTTATGCTCAATATTTTTTGTAATAGAGTCAAATCTTTTAACACTGTCTACACCTATGTTTGGAGAATGATGAACTTTTTCTAGAGCCTTTGAGTTAATTTCAGGTATAAATACCTTTGGATCTTCAGAATGATTAACTTTTTCTAGAGCCTTTGAGTTAATTTCAGGTATAAATACCTTTGGATCTTCAGAATGATTAACTTTTTCTAGAGCCTTTAAGTTAATTTCAGGTATAAATACCTTTGGATCTTCAGAATGATTAACTTTTTCTAGAGCCTTTGAGTTAATTTCAGGTATAAATACCTTTGGATCTTCAGATTGACTAGAATTACTCATTTTCTCGGATTCTTTTTTGTTCTGTATTTTTAGATTCACTTTTTTTCTCTGTTTAATACAAGTTATATGGCTTGACTTTTTTCTGGTTTTATTAAGTGTTTTTATGACAGTTTTATTTTCTCCATCTGTTTTATCACCCATTTTGTTGCTAGGACTTTCATTCATCACTGATTGTTCGGTACTCTTTCTGGGGGTGTTATTTATTTTTGATTTTCTTGTTTTTATATTAATAGAAGTATCTATCATTATATTACTGTCAAATAGTGCTTTTTTTTCTTTGTTTAAATGATTTTCACAAGACTCAAGCTTTTCTTTTGACATTTTTGTTTTCTTAGTACTTTTATTGTGTGGTTTTTTTGCTTTTAAATTTTCTTGGACTTGATCTGAGTTTGAAGATTGGATTACCTTAATATTTTGTGTTTTATTTGTATTCAGTGATCTCTTTTCACTGAAGCTACATGCACTTGCTTTATTAGCACTTCTCAATCTTGGCAAAAAGGACTGTTTACTCATATTTTCAACTGCATCTGAGATTCTAGATGATGGGCATATAATACTTTCACTACTAACAGTCTTCTTATGAACTATACCATTTTGTGTTTCATCCTGGTTAAGTTGATTATTTTGAGTTCTTAGTTTCCTAACAGGATTTCTTCTTTTATGTTGAACATTCTCTCTCAAACCAGGTTTTGAAATGGCACATTTTACATTCTCACTTTTCAACTTAGTTTCCTGTCTTTTGCTTTCTGATAAAAAAAAACAACATGTAATTAATATATTTGGCATATCCAATGAATAGTAGCTAATTTTATTATTAAACACAATTATTCCAGCTTGACTGCACCTCACACACTTTAAGTCCTGTGGGTTTAACTCATCTAAAGACTTGTGTTTAAAAGCTAGTTCACTATTTTTATCTGAAGTTACTGATGAAGATGAATAACTGCCACTATGTTTGATAACTTTTTTCATCATATAATGATCTGAATTCTGCTATTTCCTCTGAATCTGATAGAGACTGTTTTCTGTACTAGGAAGTGAATGGTAATTATTCATGAAAATCATTATCCATACACTATATAGGCAAAGATGTTTGAAGAAAACTTGGAGATTTTTTGTGGAAAAATCTTTGTGAATCATTAATAGAGTTTGATTTAGAGCTGTCCAAAAACTGGTTTATATCATGCTTGATTTTAGAACTGAAAATTGTAAGAAAATTATTAAAATGCTTGATGTTATTTTTCCCATATTTATAAGCTGATATAATCAAACCAGGCTGGCTAGGTTTCTTAGGCATTTTATAGGAGTGATTCTTTACCCTAACCAATTAACTTCTATTACGTTTTATTCTAAGTATCTAAAATCTGTGGTGGAATAACAGGGTAGAGAGGAATGAGCAGAAGAGGGTCTCAGGTTGTTTAAAATTTGGAGTTAACATAAAAAATACATTTTATTTAATATTTTCCTAACCTTAAATGTATTTCAGGTAGATACTCATCTATATACAGCTATTACTACATTGTGCTGATGCTAAAAAAATTATTGTGTGCATGCACCGAGCCTTTTAATGAAACTCCCATACCTACATATAATAACGTGCATTAAGCCAGTCTTTGATGCAAAAAAACATTAGATTATAGCCCTCCACCAACCGGAGGGCAACATACCTTCTTTGCACAGTACTCCCAAAAAGCATATTGTGTATACCACAGGCTCATTCTTTATGAGGTCAAAAAGACAGAGCAAAGGTGGAGAGAAAGGGTGGGTGGTTCCATAGAAGTATCTATCTGGGATACATTTTCAGGTAAGGAAAATTATAATTTGAGAAATGCTATTCTCTTCTCCATAGAGAAAAGAACAAGAATACCATATTGATAAGATAGTGGAGAAACCAGTTTACATAAATTAATTAAAAATATAAGCTCCTTTCTGAATATACTAACAGAAATGGAAAACTCATGAAGTATGCCACCCACTAGGGGTGTGGGGCCCTAGTGGGGCATCAATCCATGGAAGACCTTATTCATCTCATGCATGGGATACTCTTTGCCTAATTGAGATAGTAGAGCAAAAAGGATTGTCAAAAGAACCTCCTGTATGCTGCTAAAATGTCTCACAGGTGGGTGTAATTTAATAACTGCCCAACTGGCCTGTACATTTCAGTGAGTTAGCAGAACATGTATGTGTAGTTTGACTAAGGCAATAATTCAAGCTGCACAGTACATAAATATATGTATGTGAAATACTTACCATAATAAGCAATCACAGAAGTGAATCATCCCAGACCTGCATCCAAAAAAGAATGCAAGACCCAACTAGCAGGAACAACTAACTACCAGAAACAGTCTGTTTCTCAGTACAGGGGATGGCCTGTACTACAGTTACAGATAAACACCAAGCTCTATTTCCGATCATGTGCTGCACACACTTGGTCTCACCAGTGACAGGAGGGGCACTCTTCATATTTACCACTCCAGCAGCATGGGATTGAGGAAAAAAAAAGCTTCTTCCACTCCACTAGAAGAAAGGGGAAAAGAAGAAGTCACACATTGAGAACACCACAGTAGGCACTGACCAAAGATGAATAACCTCATATGTACAAGGTCCCATACTGAGTGACTGTACAATAGGTTATAGTGAATAGGAACAGCAGGTGCAAGGGAAGGAACCACACTTGTTGCTGTCATTTTCTTTTTAAAGTAATAGCACAGTGCGGAAGAGCAAATATAAACACATACAAGGTAGTCTTGCAGAAAACTCCACCTTAACAGTGGACATTGAGAAGGTATAGTTAGGATTAACACTGTCTCTTATTAATGCAGATTTCAGAAGAAAGAATTATACCTTATGAAGCAACACTGGCCACGTGGTGGGTTCCATGGTCTCCAGTATATATATTTTAATTTTTTTTAACTTTAGTGTAGTTTAAGGTGGTTGCTTTTATGTGTGTGGAATCTGTAAGAAAAGAGAGATAATCAACCTTTGCCTCTTTAGAGCCTCAAGGAATATTGAAGAAGGCACCTGGAGGTAGACAATGTGTGTAAGGAATATGAAACAAAAGTGTTGGGGATTAACCACATTCCTTCAGCAATATTGCATCTATGGAATGTTTATGGCCAGACTTAAAGAGAAACTGTGAGAAGGCTAACTTTATGGAAGGTAACATGAAAAATTAAAAGAGTCACCTCCCACAGAGGAATAGATGAGTTGGATGAGTTAAGGGTTGTTTAATTCAACCAGTTAAGGCAAAAGGAGATATGACAGTAGAAGAAGAGAAGTCCAATATAAAAAAAAAAGTGCTGAATCCCTTGAAAATGAACAATGCAAGTGAGATAACAGCAAACTGCCTTAACAGGACAAAGAAGATACCCAGGGTTGGAATTATCATATAGAGAAGAAAGGGGTGAGAAGGTGATTGGAAAAACCATTTAACCACCCACACAAACAGCCCAGTACTGGGTATGATGGAATAGTCTGGACAGAAAATCAATGTATCTCTGTGGGGAAGACTGCAGAAAGCCTAAAAGGAAAACATATCAGAATGATATTTCCCACAAGCAAGAAAGGAGAAGAAATACATTTTAAGAGAAAGATGGCACAAAAAATAGGTGGCCAAAAATTTGAATGGAGGAGATTTAACAGCCTTGAGAACAAAACAGAAATTCCACTCTAGAAGAGGAACTGGAAGAGAATGATGACTGATCAGGAAAGCTCAGAATATGTCTGCAAGAACTGGATAAAAATGAGAATGGCCAGGGAAAAGACAGAAGACTGCTGACAAAGCCACATTGCAGTTAACGATTGAAGAAATGGAAAGACCATCCCTGAAAACTAGGGGAAAAAAGAAGTGAGATGAAGAAAAGTCAGATGATCTGGAGGAACGGAGTGACAAAACGACTAGCATCAATAAGTCATCCACTTGTGATGATAATCTGAAAGGATAATTGGCCAACAAAAGTGAGCAATAAGGTGGGTTACTCTGCAAGAAAAATTTGCCAATCTTGTAAGGGATTGTAGAAAAATTAAATGTGAAGATGAAAGTGTGGATCTTCATGGTGAAAGATAGATTTTTACGACTGACATAAAAAGGGACATCTGAGATGGAAGAAGTAGGGGCACCGAATCATCAAGAGTCAAAGCATAAATCATAATTGAGCTGGCCGACGAGTAGAACCTGCAGGCGTGTTTGTGAATTATACAAAATATTCTAGAAAAATGTTGAAGAGGAAGATAAGCATACAGAAAGAGGATGGACCAATACAGACTCAGAAAGAATACTATCAGGACCATGGAGCCTGGGAAAAGTTGTGGGAAAGAAGGACAGAGAAATGAATGGCAATTCTACAGAAACTTGAGGAAACTTAAATACCACTCTGCCTGAAGAATTTGGTGTGGGAGTAGCAGCTGATCCATTTCCAAATTCAAAGCTACCAGTGCATGGAAGGCCAAAAATGAAATGTTGTTTTGACTCCAATAGTGGAGCTCAAGAACAAGAAGCAGAAGTACTGGAATTATTGAAGCAGATAAGAATAGGATGTCCATACAGTCATAAAAAAAGATGGTGGCAGATCCATTGAACTACCAAAATCTCAAGAATACTAATATGGAAAGACCACTTCATAGGAGATCAAACACTGAAAGGGTTGAGGTGTCCATAATTGCACCACACTCAGCTAAAGGGGTATCCACTTACAAGTGTTAGTCCAGACAGGGTGGAGGAAGGTGGAAGCTCAGAGTTGTGTTGAAATTTTTAAGCCACCATGACAGTGAGAGGGAAAGAGATGGAAGAAAGAAATAAGAGAGGACAGTGGATCACAGGATATATTTCAATGACCTGTCAGAATCCAATGCTGGAGACACAAAGAAGTGAAAGGTCCCACAAGAGACAAAACCTCATTCATAGGAAGAAACAGGGCTTGAGTTGTGTAAAGTTATTAAGTGGAGCTCAGTTTCACAGCCCCTATGAGTTGGGGGGTCCAGGGGGCCATCAGAACCTATTATTTCAATTATTTGATGACATCACAATGTATATTGACACAAAAATGTAACTCAAATGTTGAAGAATGACATGTTACAAAGTAGGCTTACGTAAATAATATGAATTGGTAAGATTGTGATAACTTATGTTTAAATTTATGTATGTCTTTGAATATTCTACAACAGGAATGTTTTCATAAAATTTATAACAACAGGAGCATTTTCACAACAATTTCTTACAACAATAAAGATGTTCTGGTTCATTCCCCCTCAACTGAAGTCTTTGGAAGAAAGAAGAAATGAGAGCATTGGAAACCAGAAACTCCATACCTCAGAAATGTAAGGGTTTAAATCCAGTAAATGAAATGATAAAGGCTCCCAAATGAATCAGGTACTGAATGAGAATCACTACTGATGTAGGAACCTGAGCAGCCAACCCAAATGAGGTCAAAGCAGATGATGCCTCCCAGCACAGATTTATAAATTGCCAAATGTAAAAAGGGTAGTGGAAATGCAGATTCAAGAAGTGCAATGTCAATGTGACTGCCTTCAGAAATTAACTGAAAACAGACAATTGTGAGTCCCAAGAAAACTCCTAAGAGAAACCCTGTGGGATCCAAGAGTCTCTTGCAAACTGAGTCTACAAGTGGACAAAGTGTAACATCCAATCTTCCACAGGACCAAAGCTGAGAAGTGGTTCCAGAAACAACATGATGACTGGCCTATTAGGATGGGGTTACATCACAAGGAACACTCCAAAAAGTCTGCA